CTGTGATGGGTTGGCGCCCCATCCTGGGTTGTTCCCTGCCTTGTGCCCTGTGATGGGTTGGCGCCCCATCCTGGGTTGTTCCCTGCCTTGTGCCCCATCCTGCGTTGTTCCCTGCCTTGTGCCCTGTGATGGGTTGGCGCCCCATCCTGGGTTGTTCCCTGCCTTGTGCCCGCAGCCTCTAGGATAGGCTCCGGACCCCCTGTGGCTCTGAATAGGACAAGCGGTTACAGGAAATGGATGGATGGATGGATGGATGGATGGACGGACTTCCAACTACTAATTGTGCCAATACTATTATTTTGTTTTAATGCAGAAACATTTTCACCCAAAAAAAAACAATTGTCTTATTTTTATTTAATAATTTTAGAGACCCATTCCTTCAAGTCAAGAATCAGTTTCTTAACCCAGTATAAGAAACTAGTGGGTTTTATCATAACTTACACATGTTCTTAGCATGCAAAGAGACCACGCAATCCTGATAAGCCAAGCACTTTGTCAGAATTAAATATTACAGAGGAGGCAGAGAGTCACATAACACTTACACTGCACTGCTTAAGTTCCAGACCCAAAACACTTGCTCCACTTGATCATAAGAAATGCAAGGCTTGCCTTCTCTGCATGGGTAACATTTCTATCTAGCTGTGCCTTTCTGCGTATCTATATCTGTGTCCATGTTAGATGCCCCCTTTCACATAAAACCTCACATTTCAAGCTTGGGAAAAAATAATCTTTGACAATCTGGAACAGCTTCTTTTCAGAATGTCCTTCTGGGATGTCACTTGACAAACTGCCAAGCCATCCTGGACCAGAATTCCATTCCAGTACTGTGCGCCCCCACAAAATCTGTGTCCCTCCATAGCTTCTACCTGAACGCTTAAATCTGCACTGGACACTTCTTCTCTAGGAATTCAATTGTGCAAATTAATTAAATCTTATTAAGCGGTTCATAATCACGTTCCCCATAATATTGTGAAACCTCATTTCATATGGGACTTCAGTATATTATCCTAATCTTATAATTAAATGTGATTAAGTCTTTATCAGGGATTCTTAGAGGAAACTTGAACTTAATTCTTATTATATAAAAATAAAAAAGGGGCAGATGGTCACAGTCATTGTATAGTTTTCCCAAAAGCAGTTCAGCTATTTCCGATATAGTTAAATACTTCAGTTTAGAACGATCTATTCATTTGTTATAGCTCTATTTTATAATAACTGTGGGAAATAATAATTGCAGATTCAACATTTTTGTGGTTCAGGCATTCAGGAATGTTATTTGTATCGTAAATATATTAATATTTACTATAAATGTTAAACTGTTATTTTGATATTGATGAAGGACTGTGCTGTTTTACCTGCAATCACGGAACAATGTAGATAATAAAAAGATGTACGACAGGAGGCAACACCAACATTATTTTAGTCTTCTTGGATACGGGCTTGTGTCAGATGCTGGTGTTAATATGATAAAATACAGCAGGAGGTGTCAGCAGCATGCACACCACTGAAGACAGGAAATCAGGAAGATAACACTTAGATTTGGCTACCCAGAGGCTGGGGAGCAATCAAGGTGTTTACAACCATCTCCAAACGGTCTTCACAATAAGGAAGAGGAGGCATCGGCTGCCATCTTTGCACCATGTTCGGTGGGGAGACGACCTGGGATGGGAGTGAGGTGTCATACAGGGGCGGCGTATATGCCGACAGCTCTCTGTGGGCTGCCGCCTCGCATGCCAGGGAAAAAGTGCCGAATCTGCGGCAACGGGCACGTCTCCTCCTGTTAGCGCCATGCTGTCCGGGTGGCATCCCAGCAACCCCCACGCCCACCTCCCTGGCAGGCAGCCATGATGAGCAACATAGAGAGAGCAGGAAGTCCCCCGCCCCCCCAGGATAAAATACACTGGCAGGAATCAATACATCACCCTAGAGACACTTTTGGCCAGCCTAGAAAATGCATAAATTTCCTTTAGACGACACTTAGCCTTGGCTCAGAATAAAATGTGGCTATAACGGTATTGATAGGCTTTCGATCCAATGGCAGCTTATGAAAACTGCAGCCTTTTAACAGATAAGCAAAAACGAAAATTAATAAATGAATGCATGAATGAATGGGGGGGGGGGGGAAGAAAACTGCCAGCAGGATTAAGTTTACGCTAAAACCGTACAGGATTATGACGGCAAATATAACGAATGTCTGTGAGGGCTTGCAAGAATAGCTCAGCATTCCCCTCCTGCTTTATAAGGCGATACGCAGCCGGCGTCCAGTCCACAGGGAGCTGACGCACATGCAGGATTTCTCACGGCCCGTGAAT